ATACACCATTGAAGATGGCGGCTTCTTTTCCATCAGACCCAAGTTGGAATTATGATGTATTCTTGAGCTTCAGAGGTGAAGACGTTCGCAAAAATTTTCTGGGTCATCTCGATTCTGCTTTAAAAAAGGGAGGATTCAGGACTTATAAAGATGACAACGGTCTCACAAGGGGTAGCGACATTGCACCCAGCTTGGTTGAAGCGATCGAGCACTCTAGGATTGCAGTTGTCGTGTTCTCCACAAACTATGCTGCTTCTGGATGGTGCCTGGACGAGCTCGTCAAGATCCTTGATTGCAGGGACAAGTTGGGGCAGATGGTTCTACCCGTTTTCTTCCATGTGGATCCATCAGACGTACGCAACCAGAGGGGGAGCTTTGGCGAAGCTTTTGGGCGTCACCAGAAGGTTACCGTAGAGAAAGTAGAGAGGTGGAAGACTGCCCTTACCAGTGCTGCGAATCTTGCCGGCTTTGATCTTCAAAGTGTCAATGGGTAATACAATCATCTCTTCCTTGCTTGGATGAAAATTTGTATAAATTTCTTTCTTGTTAGCAAGTGGACTTGGTTGGATATCTATGTTGTGTTTTGCCAACCTCAATTTTTAATCCTTTTAACAACGACCAGGGATGAGACTGAATTGTTCAAGAAAATTATTGAAGATATTTGGGAAAAAGTGCATCAGACATACCTTAGCGATGTGGATGGCCTCTTTGGAATTGGCTTTCCAGTAGAGAGAATAATGTCACTCTTGAGACTTGGCTCCAAAGATGTTCGGTTCATAGGAATCTATGGAATGCCTGGAATAGGGAAAACAACAGTTGCCAAGGAAATTCGGAATAGAATCTCTTAAGGAATTTGATGGTAACAGCTTGCTAATGCTTGAAGATGTCCAGCTAGGATCAAGACATGGTGGACTGGTTGAGTTGCAAACGAGACTTCTATATGATATCTTAGGAGTCCGAGACTTGCACCTACGAGATGTTGATGATGGAATTGAAAAGATTAGAGGTCGATTGAAGCACAAAAAGGTTCTGATCATTCTAGATAATGTTGACCATTTGGACCAACTTGCAGCTCTTGCTAAAGAGAGAAGTTGGTTTGGCA